GAAAATCCCACTTCTGTTTTCCGGATTGTCTTTGTGTTTCACAACGGCTCGGAGTGCATTTTAACGTCCGCTTAATTCGAGTGCGTCCTTCTGATAGCGATTCGAAAGTGAAGAATCCTCGACGATTATATGAGCGAAATTCGACCGTACAAATGCGATTTTCGAAGCGAGAAGTTTTAATTCGATTTTTTTTTGGGTTGTTCGCGAACTTTTTTGCAAGTATAATACGCTTGAAGATGGATTGTCTTTGTTTCGGCGATGGGGCTAATTTATCAAGTATCAGTCAATCGCAGGTGATGATCTTAGGCTAATTTCTCAATTTTTTTCCAGCGCGAAATTAAACAAGCATTTCTCTTCTCTGTGCGATAAATCTAACGATGTTTTCCCCGAGCTATAGATAGGAAAACTAATTTAGTTTTTCATCGTACGAGTACAAGACGAATAGCTAGCACAAGAAGAAGGAAGTTTCCTCTTCGCTATACGAATCCAATTAAGAGTAATCGTGACGTCATATTCGCTTAAATATAAACACATTATATGGGGGTATAGGGAATTTTTTAGTTGTGTAATAAAATAGAAATTAAATAGTAATTTATAGTCGCGCTAATATTTGCCCATCGAATTATACAACGATATTTACGCCTTTTATTACTGCATAAAAATGATTAATTCGGACGGAACGGGATTTCATTTGCGGCGCGAAGATTAATGCTTGAAATCTGCGAACTATCAATTCTCGTCCGGATTCGATAATTATTAAATACTGTTTAAATTCTATTCGAAAACGGTATTAACGTTTCGATTGCAACACAAACCGTCCTTTGTGCGCATCAATTCACCGACGAATTATTATTAATTTCCATTCGAAAATAAACCGACGATCCGGCGTTATATCCGGCTAAAAAAAATCCATTTCATTTAACTCCGATCCGGCTCGACTTTCCTCCATACATTCGAACAACGGAGCTGTCCGAAAATCCGAGTTACAATTCGCGAGTATTGAGTTTTCGTCACGAACCGCCGGCCGAGTCGCGGGGGTATTTTAGATCCATTACGGACGCGAAACTTGTTCATTAAACTTTCGTGCCAGTTTCGCCGGCTTGTTGCCCGTTACAATATCGAATTCTCGACTGGAAAACCTTCTCCGGAATCGATAAACTGATTAGCGGGTAATTTGCTAGTCGAATTGATGCGAGTTTCGCGCATCGGAGGCTCCGAAGTTTGCAATAATGACCGGCACACGTAGCAGTCGTTATGACAAAATGTCCCTTCCGCTTCGCTTACCTTGCGGGCCTCATTACGGTTAATTAACAAGTTAACCGGATGGGATATTTGCGACATACGTGCTGGTAAAGAAATTTCTAATGCAGGATAACAAATCCTTGAAGAGCGCTATTCGCCATTTCGTCGCTAATCAACAGAATAAGTCCTTAGATATCCACATAATATTCGCCATTTTATCTACTAGGATGTTCTACATACAGGGTTTTATTTAATCGAATGCCGATACTTCAGGATGTGAATATTTGGATGATTTAACGAAGAAAAGTTTATATCAATGTATGTCCTAAACCTCTTACTTTTCGATTTGCAGGGTGATGAAATTTTAGAACATTTCAACATTTCAAAATTCTAGCCTGTGTGAACAGAATGTACTGATCAACTTGTTTTGAATACGAATGAAAAGCAAATGCGGTATGAAAAAATTCGATCCGTTAGAATCCGGAACGGTATCGAATTTTCGCGAATTTTCGCTCTCCAGCTCCGGAGAGGTATTTCTATCAGTCGATGGGATTAGTGCCGGAGTAATTTAATAAGTTTGTTTTCTTCAAAGAGGTGGCGTTTTTGCATTAAAGAGGTGCGGAGAAGTATAAGTCCTCTTAATTAGGTCAATGAAATTTTCTTAATGGAACTTGGGGGAGAAGTAATAATTAAATTTCGACTCGAAATGGAATTATAACGTTAATTTCCCGGATATTTTCGGTGCTTAGTGCGCTCGATTTGAACGACGAAACGCTGGGATATTGCTGCCGGTATAAATCGCCTTTCGCGTTTTTTAATATTCTTATATAGTTTCGATTAATTTTTTTGCCATCGAAAAGGATCCCATTAATTAGCCGAGGAGTTAGGAAAGTTTCCAGCTTGTTGTACAAAGGCCCGTCGCTTTGAAATGCAAACTCGAAACTACACAGCCCCGACGAGGAGATAACGGCAATAATTTTCCTTTTCGAAAAGAAAGCTATTATTCGAAAAGTTGATAACTTTCTCGCCGCGCCCTTTTTTTCCTCTCCTCTCTTTTAAAACGCAATAAATAACAATTCCGAAATACGTAAAACCCCCTGCGGTATATTTTAGTATTGTGCAAAAAAGGCGATAAACGCAAAGGCGCCCGAGGGAAGTCATTTTTCATAGCCGGAAGACGTTTATAAATTGCCGGAGAGCATGCCCAATTATTCCACCGTCAATTTTTTTTCTAACATACTAATAGCGATTCCTGTATTTCTTATTGCTCGTCGTTCTTCAGCCGCTCTTCCCGGACTTATTAATAATTTCGCATTAAGCTCATTAATTAGTTTCGAACTTCCAAGAAGATTTATCCCGTATTATTAATGTTCACTACTCTTACCTTTCTTGCCTCGAAAGTTGCCAAGATTTTGTTGTTCCCCCATTTTCCAGTTGTGAATTTTTTTTCATACAAACTTTCGTACTATAATTCTCACCGGATTACACCAACTTTGTATATTACAAACAGTATATTTCCAATAGTTTCGCGTTGAACTGCTAATTTAATTTTTAAAACGGAAACGCCCGATTGCCCGACAGCCGGGGAGCACTCTCGGGGGCCGAAGAATCCGCTTAATTACCGAGCTGTATATGATAAACATTCCCCGCATTTCCGCGCAAAGTAACAGTAAACAGATGTGTATTTAGGCCCGCCAAATCCGGCGTTTTATAGCCCACTCCGGGGGTATTATCATCCCCTTTGCCTCGACCCGCCATCCCTGCGGGCAACTCTATAGACAGCAGGATTTTCCTTCTACTTAGCTCTTTCGCCGTAACCCAACAGCACTCCTATTGCACAGTCGAATTTTCGAGCAATATTTCCAATCGACTTTTTTCGTTTATACATAAGCATCAGGAGGTCTACGTTTAACGAGACACCGTTACATAACGAACATAATTTCCTTCCCTTTCATCAAGCCGTATTGATCTATCGAGGGCAAACACAATGGCGAAAAATAATATTCCCGACGTCGAATGTTTCCCGATTAAAAACAACATCGTTAGAGCCGGGGCCGAGTTTGCAGAGAGCAAACGGGAAATTGTTAATGACTCGCTTTCCACTCGATATTCCGCGCACAAAGGCCCGCGTACGGCGCGAACCATTCTTTCGACTTCTATGCAGGTAATTTACCTGTTGAATGGGGGATACCAAACGGGCCCTTCGTCCTGTAGGGTTGTGAGAAGGATCTGGGCTCGATCGATTCGTCGGGGCACAATGAACACCACCACTTTGTATCGAGCCGTTAATGAGGGCGAAAGGTAAATATCCCATCTTGCGCGGGAAAAATGTTATACACAGGAACAAAGCCGTATTGATGATTTTGAGAGCGATCTTATTGTTGCAGCAAATGAAATATGCATTTTTGTCTCGTACCTGCGGGATTTACCCGACTGACGTTTCGCAATTGGATTTCCAACGGAGCTCGCTCGCGCCAGTTTTCATTTTCGCGCTTTTCCGAGTTCCCGCAAAGTCCGCAGACTTTCCCTAATTTGACTTTTATATTGCTTCATATACAAACATTTCTCCTTCTAACTTTTGTTAGTGCAAATATAGAGTGGCGAATCATATTTCTTTACCAATTTAAAGCTTTATTTCGAAGCTAATAGTGAAGTATAGGGGTAGAAAATTACATCTGTTCTTTTTTCAATTCAACGCGACACCCGGTATATTCTCCCAGTAAAGACACAAAGAAAAAGGCAATGAAATAAACGATAAACATAACTTAAACCGCTCCGCTTTAAATACGAAAAGCGGCCGTTCCGCGGACTCGATTGCAATAATAAAAAAATCTTGTTAAAAAACTTCGATCCGCCTAAAACCGGCCGTAATTTAGAGCGCAAATCCCCGCGGGGCGGCGGCATTTGCATATTTTTCGCGTCGGAAAAAGCCCCGAAAAACTTCCCGAGCGGGCAACTTACAGCATCGGCCCGTCGAAGGGATTTTTTTCACAGTGTCACGTCCGATACACTCTTCCATTATATATTTCGCCGGTGGAGGAAATATCCGCTCATGAGAAACCTAACAGTTGCGCGGGGCTATCTCTTCGCCTCGGGCGTTTTATCACTCGGATTATTCCCGGGGGGTTTGTTCAGGTGAAAATAAATTCGAAAACACGCGGAAACAACACATTCCATTTACGTTTTGACAAGCCGGAATTTATTAGATCGAAAAGGAAGCGGAAGGAAAACGCCGTATGCAATCACATTTTATTTACACCAATCTTTTCCAGCGTCGCTAATACGAGGATCGCTTTGTTATTATTTATCGCGTATTGACTCAACTGATTATTGCCATGCAAACGAAATAAAAGTCAATTAGCAGTTAATAAACAATTCCAATGTAAAATTAGCTTCGTTTCGGTGTTTGTTATATACAAATATTTGTTCGATTGTATTGCACATGCGTTAATTTCCACGCAATGTAAATTTGCGATTATCATTACGTCCCGTTATTACCCCGATTTATAAATAATTTAAATCAGATAATCGCGGTCCTAACGCGGGAAATTTAAATTTAAGCGAAATTAAGGGCTTTAGGCGGAAAATAAAAAAATAAAAAAATAAAAAACTGTCCGGCCGCGCCAGTTTCGAGGAAATGACACGCTGACATAAAACCCAGCGCCGCATTTGCAATTCCAATGCCTTCACTCCCGCGCTAATTCCCTCTCTCTATCGATCGCCCAAAAAAAAAATCCAACAATCTACATAAACCTCACCTATGGTAGTGATCAGCGTCAGCGAATACAAAAAGCTCGAGCTGAAGCTCCACTTGTGGTAGTTCCGGTAGTAAGTCGCCGTCCCGACGCCGGAGCCGCGCGCCTTGAACAACGCCTCTTGGAACACCAGCACCTCCTCGGCGGCCAGCCGCGTCCAATTCTCCCTATACAAGATGTTCAAGTTCTCCGTGATGCTCCACAATCTGCAAACGAACCGATCAACAAAAACGAACCAAAACCGAGTATGGTAATCCATCAACCTATCGACGGTCTCCGCCCGGAGCTCGTCGACGGTCCCGGCGGGCCTGGCGGACGCCCGCTGGGCCGCCGCCGCCGCCGCCGCGTCGTCGTACAGGCCGCCCTCCAGCGACATGAAGAGAAAGGCGCCGAGCACGGTGTAGGCGAGGACGAGGAGGCAGACGCCGACGGCGGCGAGCAGGGAGGCGTTGCGGTCGGCGCCGCCCGAGCAGCTGTAGCAGCAGCAGAAGAACGAGGGCGGCTGGGCGCGCGGGTGCTCGTAGCAGCACGGCTTGGGCGACGGGCTGCCGGGCGGCGAGCCGCGCCGCAGGAAGGCGTTCTGGTAGGCGGTACCGTAGGCGGTCGACTGGCGGTCGCGGATCATTGCGGTACTCGAATGGCCCGGCCGGTGGTGGTCATCGGGAGGTCGGAGGCGACCGCCAACCAGGTAACATATCTGCAATAATGAGATTAAAATTAGATGATACAGTAGACATTAACAATGAAATATAACAAATCCCCAATCTCGCCGAATTAATTTTAAATACTACAATTTATTACCCTTTCCGATGGGGTGGTACAGCACGTTATTCTCGATTTTAATTAACCCCGCTCTCGCCGGTTTTATTTTTTTCCCCCGTCCCGAGTCGTCTCGCCTGAAGGGGACCGAGCGAACTGTCCGATTTTCCTTTTCCTTTTAATAAAAAAAATAATTGCGTCGAATAACCGTCATGGCGTTGGCCGCTCCGCTTTCTCGCGGGATTCGCTAAAAGCCGGGCCCCGTTATTTCTAAGTGTATTTCTCTTATTGAAAGTAATAAAGCTAAAAGAGTTTAATCAGTAGACTTTGGTCCCGAGGCGCCGACGTCGCTGAAATTTTTATGGGTCTTTCGCTATCCGGACGAACGGCAGGAAAAAGCTCGGAGATAATATATGTAGATGCGAGAAATTAAACTAGACGAAACACACCTGGGAGATATCCGAAAAGTTCTCCGAAACGGGATACCGATATAACGGGAAATATATATTATGATAGATCCGGCTTTGGTAGATGCTTCGTCAGCCGGAGATAAATTCTATCTGTATAAAAATAATAGCAATTCGACCAAGTAGATTCCATTGTTAGGAAAATTGATTTTTTATCGTATCGTTATCTAAGCCGCTCGGAAATTTATAAGGCCGATTCGAGATATATGGGAAATGGATGGAAAAACCTCCGGCGATACGGACGCTACAATTTATGGTAAAATGATAATACTTGTTGAGAGCGAAATGATGTTTGATAATAATAGAAAACAACGCACATTTATTTTATATTTTGTATTAGGAGAGTATTAGAAGAGTATTAGGAGAGTATTAGGAGAGTATTAGGAGAGTATTTTAAGAGAGTATTAGGAGAGAATTAGTAGAGTATTAGGAGTGTATTAGGAGAGCATTAGAAGAGTACTAGGAGAGTATTTTAAGAGAGTATTTTAAGAGAGTATTAGGAGAGTATTAGAAGAGTATTTAGAGAGTATTAAGAGAGTATGAGGAGAGAATATATGCCCGCGTAAGTTCAATAAATAGATTATTTCTGGGTGATGTTCAGTGAGCGAAAAAACGCCGGTAAATAAAAAAAATCCGAAACGGGCGCTAATTGAAAATTAACAAAGCGAAAACGAGGCGCTCGTCGTGTTTTATGACCCGCGAACGAGTCGAAAACTTAACCAGAAACATAACGACGAAGATTTTCCGAGTTGCACAATACAAACTTGTTTGGAAGTGTAAATTAAGCGGAAAAAAGGGCCATTATATCGTTCGGAAGTGTTTAAAAAATCGCTAACAAAGCCGCTATCTGGGCGAGCATATCGCGAGAATTTATGGCCTTTTATCTGTTCGCTATAACTTTTTCGCGCGAGGAAGAAGTCGGGCCGTGCGATTGAAAGAAAGGTGCGAAAATATAATGTCCGGGGCGTGGATTCGGCGACGGGAAAACGAGGGAGCGAGAAAAAAAAACCGGCGGGAATTTTAGGCAGTTTTACATCGATTGCCTCCTAAGTGGTAATAAAGGTTTTTTTTTTGTCGTTCGGAGATTGGAGATTTCGAGAGGGGGGAAGATCGAAAGGTGTTGTTGATGGAATCATTCCGGTTAAAATACGCACTCTTTTTATAGCCCTTTCCATTTATCTAAAAGCACTTAGAAAAATTTGCTTCGCTCGATTTCCCATTTTACGTGTATACACCCTGCCCGTTTTATCGCGAAACATTATTCATACGAAATCCCTCCTTTGTTATTGCATAAAATTTCATTATTAAAATTCGAATAGACATCAGCAGGGCAAAGACGAATTAAACTTTAAATTGCAATTTCCCATATACGTATACACTTCACTTTAAATTTGAGTTTAATACGTAAAGAGCCCGCCGGTACGGCGAAAAATGGGCAAACAACAATTCCCTTTAAGTTTTCATTTTTTTTCCATACCCAAGACCCGATTTAAATTAATAATCAGACCGAAAAACGCGTTTACCCGGTTAATTTAACTTAGTCATTCATACGTTTCGCCTTATTAATAATAAAATTTATACTCCGTTCGGTATCAGGAGTAATTGACTCATCACCTTTAATAATCGTATTCCTTCAGCAGGAAGTAATTTTTGGGAGATCGAAATAATACATTTACATGCACTCAAGTCGCTCTCGAGAGTGCACCCTAATCGTTTAATCCCTTAAATTGATTAATCCATTTAAAACGCGATCGGCTCGTGTGATCTTCTCCCGCGTATTGATTGAGTTTGGTAATCGGTTTCGCTAATTTATCTAATTTATTGTACTTGATTGCTCATTAAATTTCCAATCGTTCGAAGGCGAACCAGGTGGAGTAATTGTTAATTTAAGAGGACCGTTTAATAAATCGCCGATTAGTGATAAATTGAATTATACTAACAGTGCGCGTGTAATACTCGCTGGGTCTTGCTAATTAAAGTTTACAAAAGAGTTCGAGTCTCGAGTAATATCGCTCTACTACTCGCCGTATAAATTTAATATCCCGACGAGGGGGAGTTTTTCGAAAGCGATTAGGAGTTTGGAAACTTTCTCGTATTATTCGGGTTTTATTTAAGCGAGTTAAAGAGGCCCTAACGATCTACCTGCGAATCGCAACTATGCAGACGATTTTTTTTTATTTAGTCGGGAACAATACTAAGTTATAATTAACCCTGTTGAGCAATAATTCCGTATAGTGAAACAACGGCTAGTACAAAAGCTCCCGTTGTCATTTGTCATTCGGAACAATTGGAAAATTCATTACCGGAGAGCGTTTCTGCAAACAGAAATTCCATCATCATAAACTTTCATAACATCCGAAGGAAAATTAATTTTCGGCGGATGCCTTTCGAAGGGATTCTTAGGAGGAGCAAGTAAAACAATTAAAACTAAGAAACGATACCGGAGTTGCTTGCGTTAGGCCAGTTTCCCCAACTCCAAGCAAATTCTTCAAATCACTCCAAGTATTAAGTGTATATGTATAATAAAATTGAAGTAGTGCCTGACTCACTTAGCGATTGGAGACTCTTTTACTACTACAAATCTGTAGTCTTGTAGATGATTAAAAGTTGCGATTTAAATTCAGACTCGAATTTTCGAAAAACGCATTTTTTTGGCACCAAAATCCTCGATTATTTTTCTCGATTGGCCTAGGAGAGACTATAACAAGCGACTTGCGATGGGACTAAATTTCCCGGAATAATATTTCAATTAACCAAATTGGGCCCGAACAAAGGAACTTGATCGAGTGAAGTGGATCCATCTACTTTATAATTTAAAATAGTTAAACGCCCCGCGCAAAGTTATCAATGCAAACGAAAGCCCTCGGAAGTTAGTTTTTAAATATTATATTCGCGTAATTGCCAATTACGCGACGCCTTTTACCCCCTGCGAACGTTATTATTCTATTAAAATCCGGCTAAATAACGAATCGTAGCTTCTAATTAGCTCGTTAAAAACGAAGAGTTACAGCGGATTAAACGCTCGCAACTCAAACTATCTCTTTTAGTTTGAGTACGTTAGATCAATTTTTGCTGCGACTCATTAAAGCGAGCGTAAGCCGATTCGAAAGTTCCCCGACACGTGCCGATTATAATTATCCCTCGACCGGGGCGTAATTGTTTCTAATCCTTCCCAACTCGCCCCTACGTGCACGTATAATCCCGTCGAAATGTAGTTTATTTTCAGCGCGCAACTCTCCCCCACCGACGGTTCCTCGTCTAATTTTTCCCCCGCGAAAACGACGCGGAAAAAAACCCGGCTCGTAATCGTATAAACGTTTTTTTTATATACGAACGAAAGATCAGAAAACAACCGGCGTAATAAAGCCCGGAGGTTTTTTTTTCTCGTCCGTTCCGATATGCTTCATAAAAAATTTTCCGAGCGGAAAAAAGGAAATATTACAACAACAACAATCAGAAGACCACTCCACTTCGGCTGAGTATTGGGCGTAAGTACGTACGTGATGATGCCGAATGAACGAGCAGCAATTTCGGCGGGGGAAAACGGTTCTCGACTCGAAATCCGGTCGAGTTTGGATTGTTTGCTAACTCTAATTCCCTTCGATGGGATTGATTTTTAGTTTATGCACACACCGGCCATTCGGTTATACTCCGTTCGCCTTCAAACGGTTGTAATAAAACCTAATGCTAAAGTTACTAATCGCCTGATGGCGAACGGAGTATAAAAAAAACGTAATGATGGTTTAACGACGAACGCACTATATCCAACGTTCCGATTGGGTAAAAATCGGATTTCCGGCGAAGCTAATCGCTTTAATAATTTTCCTTTTCGTCGACGTTCGGGCCGAATTTTTCCGCGAAAATGCAATTTCGCCGGTTTCGGCCAACACTCTCCGACGCGGAAAGTAATGCGATTGCTCTAACGCGATTCGAGCACCTAGAATTTTACAAAAGGGGCGATCTAATTAGAGCCGGAGTAGGCGCCTTTTTCTCTCCGTAACTCGATTCTCTAATGCCAATTTCATATTTTCCCCGACGAAATATCCCGCTTAAAATTTTTCCTAACCTCAAGTCGGTAACGTAAACCGTTTAATTATACGTTTCCATTTGCGAAATCAAATATCTTAGCGAGCGAAAAAAATTTTCCGTAGTCCTTTAGGTACACAAACCACCGGTTAATTACGCGTTTTCCCGGAATTTAATCCCTAAAACTCCCATTCGACATAACTTAATTGCAATACATCGCGCGGGTATACATCCAGAAGAGATCGAATTTAATCTCGATTTCACATAATGAAATTGGATGTTTCTGCGACGAGAGGTGAAGTTCATGCACGGCAGAAGGCCGGATTGATATTAGCGAAATTCTAATTACAGTGAGTCGTTTCTGATAAATTAACGAAGATCGCTGGCGAATCAATGCGGCTTAATTAAAATTTAATTGCAGGCCACTTTGAGCATCGGATTGGTCTAGAT